CTGTCCAGATTAGAACCCAGGCTGGCTTCTGGGTGCTGACTTGCCTAGGCCCAGATCCTGAGGTAAGGGGTGTGTGAGTGGCGGAGTCAGGGGCCAGTCTCTCTCATCTGTGGGCGTCAACATCCTGCCTCCCTTCAGAGATGGCAGAGGGCCCAGATGGAGCTGGTACAGGCTGGGGCCCTGGGAGCCACGGGAATGTCCAATGTCCATTCCCTCCAGACTGCCTATCCTGAGTTAATTCTAGATCATGTTTAACAAAGGAGTCAAGGTCAGCCAAAAAAGGCAGAGTAATCAATGTGATCTATGAGCTATGTGATCCCCAGGATTTATGTGATGTCCTCAGCTGCTGCAGTATCTATGTGATACCAACAGCTGCTCCCCACCATCTACCCTAATTCTTCAAAGGCCAGGAATTGCCAGTGGAGCCCACATGGATCTGAACCCTGACCACAGCCCACCCTGTCTTCCTCAAAAGCCTTTCTCCTGGGAGGTCCATCCTATCACGGGCACTTTTCCCCTCCTGGTAGCTGCCACTGGGTTTGCAGTCACCCCTCTTGCTCACCAACGAGGCCAGCACCTTAGCCACACCATCCTCCCAACATCTGTGGGCTTCTTCCTTCATTACCCTCTTGCCTGGCCTTCCTCACCTCTGACCTCACCATCCTTAGACCTCATCATTTACATCTTCTAGCTCTGCCCAGCCACCCTGGGTCAGACCCCGGGCTCTGTGTCTGCCTAAGGTGGCTCCACCTCTCAATTTCCAAACCACTCCTCTCTGGTTCAAATACTACTCCCCTAACAATCCCTCACCATGATAGAGGTTCTTATCTATCAAGATCTTTTCAACATAACCTCCTTGCTTCTTTCCCACTGTAGTAACATTAACCTTAGACCCTATTTTCACTCCATCACTACAATTTCTCCCGTGTCTGTCATCTTGACTGCCTGGCCTCTGTCTCCCTTTCCTCTACCACGACTGGTAACTGCCAATGAGAAGACAGGTGAGTACACAACCCCTGCAAACACACACACACACACACTATACAGTACCCTAAATTGACCACCTCATAGTTCAGCCTAGCCCTGCCATTCTGCTATGTTACCTTAATCAGCTTGGTTTCCCATCCCAAGGTGAGTGGTTACGTCATACCTTCTGGGCACATCAATCCACATATAGCTCATGTTCTCACTGCATTTCCCCAAGAAGACATTCAAACTCCTTCACCACCCACCATTCATTTAGCCATCCTAATGCACTATATTAGCCCCACCCTTTCTTTCTGGGCCCCATAATGATACAGCATTGTTTCTCCTCCTCACAGAGGTCCCATCACTCCTCCTTTCTCATGGACTGTGCCCCTCAGGAATCCATCTCCCCATCCCCTCTCAGCTCTCTCTGCTCACCATCTGGACTATTGTCATCAACGTCCATGTGCTCTGCCTCCCCTCTCAGACACAGCTTCAACCCTACTGTTCTCTCTGGTTATCACTCTACACCCTTTTAGGGCCACTTCTCACACTGCCCACTCCCCTACTTCCGGAGTGTTCAACCAATTCCAGTCTGTCTTGGCACCCACCCCCTCCTCAAATTGCTCCTATCAAGGTCATCAAACACCTCATACTGCTAAATCCAGTGGATAGCTCGGTCCTTATTGTACTAAAATCTTCAGCAGAACTCTGTATATTCTACTTTCTTGGACAGCATCCTCTCTCTCCTCGTCTCTTGTGAGCACTGCTTCTCTAGCCAAAGCTTAAGGAGGACTTCCCTGGGCTTGTTCTGAAGCTTCTTCCTTTTCCCTCTCCGTGGACAACCTCACCTAGTCCAATAAAGTTTTCAGACTATCTTTATGCCATGACTCACAAAGGGCTACTTTGATCCTGTTTTCTTCTGAGCTTTTTCACTCACCTCTCAGGCTATCTCTCCCTATATTTGTGCCTTAACCCACAAGCCTAAAAGTCATCTTTGAATCTTCTTTCTTCCTCACCTCCCTCCTCCCATAACCAGTCCATCAGTAGCACCTGTCACTCTCACCACCAGACTCTCTCTCAAACACATCCTCTCTGCCCATCTCCATTGCCCATGTTCCCCAGTCCAAATCACCACCATCTCCCAAGTGAGCTACTGTGATAGCTCTGTCTCCTCCTTACCCTCCTAGCCCCTTCCAGTCCATGTTCCAGACAACACCAGGATTGACTTCCTTGAAACATACACCAAGGCTGCTCATGTGGCCCGGAAGGCCTTGTTGTATGGGCTTCCAACTACCCCTCCAACTTTATCTCCCCCTGCCTGTTGTAGTCTAATCACTGGCCTTTCCCCATTTCTCAAAAATGTCCCAGTAGGCTGAAGTTGGCTACCAATCCTTGACTAATCTGTACCACTCCTCCTTGCCCATGAAGAAATAGAATCTAAGTCCCTTACCCTTGAATCTTGTTTGGCCTTAAATAACTTCCTAGACCAACAGAATGTGGAAAAACACAGTATCTGAGGGCAGATCAGAAGCCTTGGACTTCCACCTTGGTCTCCTGGAGTAGTTCTCTAGGATCCCTGAGTCACCATGTAGGAAACTCATCTACCAAGGCCACAATGTTGGTGAGGCCAAATGTGGGAGCTCTGGTCCCAGCTGAGCCCAGCCTTCCAGCTATTCTGGCCCAGGACCCCATCCCCTGACTGGAGTTCCTTGTATGCTCCAGGTAGCTGCACTGCACACCAGCTTAATACCATCTGGCCTCTTCAAGCAATCTGTAGTACTGCTGTGTAGAACAGAATTGTCAGGTGGGCCCTATCCAAATATCTGGTCTACAAAATCTTGAAATATAATAAAATGGTGGTTGTTGGAAGCACTACAATTTGGCATGTTTGGCCAAGATTTTGCCCACCTCAGGGTCTCAACACATGCTTCTTGATCCCATCTCAGGGTGGGCAAGGGATTTGAAGAGAAATTTCTCTAAAGATCGGCATACGGCCTACAGATACATGAAAAAATGCTCACCATCCTTAATCATCAGAGAAATGCAAATCAAAACTACTTTGAGATATCA